CCAACACTCACCCAAATAATCTGAATGTATTGATATAGTAGGAAAACTACCTTGAACACTGTCCATTCCACATCCCTAATTTCGAATCAAGAAAACTATGGAACCAGGTCAGTACTCAGTAGGGCCTCATGGGCCAGGAAGGGTCAGTATAATCCAAGTACCAGCTTATCGTTATCTCTGGTGGTGAAGAAAAGGGTGCACCGTTATCATTTATCAACTCTACTAAGGATCCCACTTTTGACTTCAGAAGTACATTAGGTAAAGTGCTCTTCAAAGATGCCCGGGTCTAGCATCTATGAGATACGTAAACAGTAATCTGTATTTGATGCCATCTTTATCCACCTAAACATTTTGACTTCTTTCCTTTCTTTTCTATCCCACACCCTTTTCTTATTCCTTTTGCTTTGTGGGTTGTGGCCAAAGAGTCTTTACCAAATGATTGTTGTTTCCTTAAGCCGAAGGAAGCGACGAACCAACGGATGGTGAGAATGAACAGTCACAACTCACAAGACAGAGAATTCCATTCCATCACTTGGGCCATTTCTCGAACCCTAAACGGCCCGTCCTGACAAGTGATAGATACCCATTGTATCAGATGTGATGCAGTGGAGTGGACCTGGACGACTGGACCTGATAGGTATCTCTACTTGCCCAGGAGGTCGGTTGATGGGTCCCACAATGCCAATGGATATGAATAGGATTCAGGAACGTAACCCAAAGCACAAAAGCTATTAGATCGGATTGCAAAAAACCTATAACGAACTACCCGGGTAGAATCTGACCCAATTTCATAATGGATCCATTAAGGTTCTGCAACCAGTAACCCACAAGGATGTGCGTGGACAGAAGGAATCTCCGGTGTGACCCGCACGTTTCCAGGGGCCCCCACTTGACAGTGCACTACGCGTGTCCCTTTGTGTGGGCCCCGTGAGCCACGTGAATGGTATTGAGATTTATTGGCCCATGGCTTTGTAATTTCCCACAGGATTCCGGTGGCTCTATAGTCTATACTAGCACAGCATCACCGGCATAACTAAATCTTTGATCATGGGCAGATTCACATGTGAGGTGATCGGTTTTTGCATATGGGTAAAAATAGCTCTAGACACGACGTGGGTCCATGCTTAATGTGTTGTAAGATCTTTGATCAGATGGTGACCGAGCTTGTTGGGCCGACCATTAGGACATAGCCCGGAAGTGCAAAACCCACTGTTGTGACCTGTACCCTGGTAATACACTATCTGTGACCTACAGTTATAGGGCAGTTCATCTCATGAGATCTCTAAATTTCTAGGGTCATAACGTTGGAAGAAAGAAATCACTTTGTGCGATAGAGCTTCATTGTTTTTTTTTTTTTTCCTTTTTCTCCCTTTTAACTCTGCCTGTACCTCTAGTGCCAAAAAGCTGGATCTCTTGTTGGAATCCATGATAAATGATAAATGGCTAGTAAAGGTATCTCTTTCTTCTAGTCCTAGCTTTTGTTGGATTCTCTACCAAAAGGGTCCCTTTCATATAGTTTGTATTTACATGTCTTGGTGACAACATTTCACCAAAATTAAAAAAAAAAAAAAAAAAGATAATCAATGCATCAACCATTTGGATCATATATTTTAATCTGTTTTGGTTTTTAGGATAAGGAAGAAGGGTGTATGACGCGAACCAGATAGCTCTGAAACTAGGATCGTTGTCTTGAACGCTGTAGCTGTCGTGAAAAGTCGATTCCTCTCAACACTGTGAAAGATAGCAAAAGAAATCCAGGGAATCGGATTGTTATTGGCCAAGGAGTGCTGAGCCACGTGGTCGTGCCGTGAGGCCTGGCCAAGACATAGGCAGTTGCCATTATGAGGTCATACGTTTAGTCCCATCTTGGCCCCCACCAATGGGTTAAGAACTCGGGAGAATCTCAGAAAACGTCAAAGCTTGGTGGAAATCAGAACAAATATGATGGTCTCATTTTAGGCCCAAAATTTGTAGGTCCACACACTCCATAATTCAGATCTCATGGGCAATTAGTAAAAGAATTTCAGTTTGTTTAATTTAGGTCAAATAAAGCAAAAGAATTCCAGGAGTTCATTATGTACAAATGTAGAATACATATTACCATATAAACAGAAATCTAGGTAGAAGGAAAAGTGAGACTCTGGCTCAGATTATGAGCCTGGGACCCGTTTCAATGGAGAATCCCTTGCATCCCAAGACCAAGGATATATCACCAGAGAGACATAAACGAGAATTCTACCGACTAAACATTAAAGATAAGCCAAGGCAAGGTGCTTTGAAGTACTTTTTCATTTGCAAGCCGTGCAATTTGTGAGAAGCATGACTCTTATAAATATGGAGTATTATTTATCTGATCAAGGACCATAATTCATCCAGTATTCAAAATTTCAACCAGCATGCCATTCTAAATTACCTCCAAGCTTATATTTTCTCCAGCTAATTGTGTTGACTTGTGATGCTGTCAGATGCTTGAAAGCTAAAGAGATGGGTGAGCATATAAAACTTCTGGACCCATACCATAAGCCAGTTGATCATAGAATGCAGTAGAATGCTCAACTGCTCCAAACCCCCATCGGTTCTTACTCATAATATTTAATTTCACATGGTCCACTATTTGGGTCTGGATGTTCTTATCTGGCACTGCATTACATGAAGATTGTTGAATCATCTAAATTTAATTAGTAGAATATTGCCTACCTTGCATAGTCAAGCAGTTTTTGCTGTTTTTTTCCCGGTAAAATAAAGGTTTTGCTAAATTTGTTACACATGCAAATCAGCTACTATCTTGTTTAGTTTTCCTATCTAAGCACAGATACTAGTCCATGTACATATGCAATTTGAAGTGTCCACACTGCCTGGAATAAAGCTTGTATAAAAGAAGGCATTGAAAATGGATCTTGCTCCTCGTTAAAGAATTAATGCATGAGAGCGATGATATGGAATCTCATCAGCTCACGTATCAAAGCCTCTTGTTCATCTAAGTAGGCTGTGCTAGGAATGCACATCTAACTATTGTTGTGTTGTTCCGGGTGGATCTTAGAAGCAAGGAAAAACTCAGATGGTTAATCTACCTTTTCAATTGTTGGAGTTCACAATTTATCATATGACATCAAGCCTTATGCTAACTGAACTGAGAACTAACAAAATGTATCCAGACATAATGAAAAAGCTGTTCAGCCTGACCCAAAGAAGCTTCAAGAAATGAATATTAATCCACTTACAGGTAACAAATATGTTAAGACAATTGTAATCCTTGAAAAAAGAGGAGTCAGATATCTGCAGCAGTAGAATAGTAACAACTTTTCGTTACTTCATTAGGTAGGGCCTCCAATCAAAAAAGTTAGAGAAGAGGCATCATGGAATCAGAAATTTGGTTTAGTTTATTTCTATTGCATCAATTTTTTGTTATCACCTAAACAGTGAACAAGTTTTAGGGGCCTGAAAAGAATTAGGACCTAGAGTCTCAAATCGTCCTGCAAATACTTCAGAGCTATGTATATATAGCCAACAAATAGGTGCCCATATAACTACAAATGGAACCTATCTCCATTTTGTTTCTCTACTAGCAAGTTAATTGAAACTTTACTTTGCAAGATTGAATCTTGAATCAGGAACCATGCAAGCTTTTCTGATAAATATCATAATGTATTAAACTATATATTTAATATCATGTACAAAGGAAGAAACTGGGGAACACTTCAAAAGACCTATCAGATTACATATACCGCCCATTTTTCAGCAAAAGGTTGGGGCTATATTTAGACATTTTTGTATATATAATTATGCATCCTTCCATGTATGGACAATTACTTGAAAGCACTTCCTTTTTCATTGATATGATATATTTTACCTACCTTTTCAAAGAAAATAACCTATTTGTCATAAGAGCTCCTAGATTTTTTTTCCCAAGTAACCACATGATGGTTACTGGTTGAACCATGATTTTTTTTAATCGGTAATCGTAAGTGTGGTTTATAGTGGATCCTGTAATTTTTATCCACTGACATGCTATAACCTAAGTGCATCATCTGAAGATATCTACGTCATCCATGATGAAGTGACAATCTTAATCCATGGTCAATGTATTGAAGCAACAAACAATTTCAAATCAATTTTACAACTCACCAAATTAATTTACTTTTCAGAATGAATCAATTTGTAAACTAACATGAAGCATTTTGCAGTTTGTTGCAATTTTGTTAGTTTATTTCTATAACTAAATAATTTCTGCAATTTGAGACCATTATCAGATTTGATAATACCGAACAAAGTAAACATACACACCAGATGGTGGATATTGAGGTCGGTCCCAAAGTAATGAACCAAAAGTGCAGGAACACAACCAACAGAGCAAATCAACTTGAAGGAGCAGCAAATATTGCCAATCATGAAAAGAGCTGATAACAAAACAACAAACTCTGGAAGGAACCCAAGTTCAATCAGTTGCAATCTTGGCACTTATGCTTCTGTTAACAAGTTCAACATTTCACTTGGTAAATGTTCCTTTCTTTGTCATGTCTTCCTTCAAAGGTGCCTCTTGTTATTTTCACTTCCCACAGACAATTCATTGCAGTGGCTAATCAGAAAACTATCCAGCACTGGCATGTTTACTCAAAGCCTCCACTTCGTGGTTTTTTCCCCATTGCATGTTCTATATGCTATTGTCAGTCTCATTCTATGGTTGTCTTTAAGCCTTTCTCAATATCTTTCAGTTGACAAGGTTAATCTTTGTTCTGATATCACACATAAACACAGCATAGAGCATCAAAAGGACCTCAGACAATCCACCAAAGCATAAAAGACAGGACCAATCAGAAAATAAATTTCTATTGAAAAAGTGCATAACTGCATGGATAAGCTCTCACTAACCCATCAATTTGGGATCAAATTTAGGATTTCCTTGGGAGGTATCAAGAAGAAATTAGAATATAATAATATCAATTCATGCATAAGAAAAGGTTCTCTATTGATTAAAACATTGTACCCATGGGATAGGCATAGAAGAAGAGGAAAAAACCGAAGATTCCATATAGTACTTTTGATTGAAAAACCAACCTGAGTTATTTTGTACCTTTTGCTCGACAAGAAAATAGGTAGATTCTACAGGATCCAACCCATGCCATAGGACTTATACATGGGCATTGTCATACATTGGAAGTGGATTTTTATCATCAACAGCATACAGGGAATTTTATTAATGAAACATAAAACGCTTGTATTTTTGGGACGTAGGAGACTAATAAAACACCATCCAAAAGCTGATCATATAACCATTCGTTTTAGAAACTACATATCATTAGAGATTAATCCCTGAGCCTGGTGCAACATTAGTTCATTTCCAGTTACCCATGCTTTAGCTAGCTGGTCAGCAAGGCGCTATTGGTAGATTTAAGTATCCACCCAAATGAAAAGTTCATATTGGATGTCAAAGCTTTTGCTTCCATGATCATCTGAAGGGTTATCTAAACGTTACTTGACAGTCCTTATCTACCAGAAAACCAACCCAGATTGCCAATTAAGTCAATTTCAGTCCCTGAAGGAGAGTGCATTCTTCCTTCAAACAAATCCCTACCCCTGGTGGACTGGAATAGCTTAGCAGAATGGTCCCTTCATGATCTCTAACTGCCCCTCCTACACCTGACTGTCGTGGCCTTGTGGGATCCCAAGGCAGGGACCTTCAAATTTTAATTTTGTTCTTCCCGGGTCAGGTGCTACCAATCTGTTTCTTGTGCCATAATTAGCCACCAACTAACACCTCTCAACAGAGTCTATCAAGACCCTCAAATTCATCATTTGCGACAGCCAATGTGCCACCCTCACCATAATGAGATCAATGATGCTATCAACTTCTTGCTCCTCATTGATAAAAATCCTTAAATTTCTCTAACACCATCCGCTCCAAATGACTACTGCTCAGGTACAGTAACACAAGTCCTCTTTTTATATCAAGAGGAATCAACAGACAAGAAAACAAGACCATAACTTCCAAAAGTTGATCCTCTATGGTACCAAAGAGAGGGAAAAAGCTGTTGCATACCTTTCAAAAGAGAGAGAGATGATGGGTTTTCTCACCACTCTTTAAGCAGAAGAATATACAAGAGAAAGAGGCACCAAGAATCGGATTCAAGCATCTCTAAATTATGAAGGCTGCTTGAAGCCAATAGATATCACACTTTGCCATAATAAAGAAAGCTAAGAAGCCACCTGTTTCAGTCTATCATCTCTGGGTTCCTGTATGGCTCTTATGCAGTAGCTGACTTCCTTTCATGTGGTTGAAGAGAAACTTTCGCTTTCAAGTGCATCTATAATTATATTCAAAATTTGGATGTATGATATAAGATTAAAATGATCATTTGAGAATTGAGACCATTTTTTTCCATTCATTACGAAGGTAAATAATTTAGGCAACGATATCTTGCGACATCTGGATATAGAATGCCAGATGTGAAACCATAATAAGAATGCCATTTGAAAAGATGAGAGAAACAACTGATTTCTATTTTTAATTTTTCTATTGTTCTTATGCTGTAATTGTGAAAAATGATTGATGGTAGAGGACAGCGAAGTGATAATTAGAATCTGATGTTACAACTCAGAGAAGCAAAATTACCCATCCCCTTGAGTTAAACATTTAAAAAACACAAAATCAAATGAGCAACTCACAGTTATGTCTTTACGAAATGAGCTGCCAGTAGCTTTAGAACTGTGAAACCATTGAAAGAGTCAACCTCAAAAAGTTCTTTCAGCTTCTCGTCACATATTATTCTCCTCTTATCAGATGGATCCTTCAGAGATAAGCACAGATCAGTGAGCAGAACAAGGTAATAGAAAATAACTGGGAAATATGGTTAGGAGAAAACACCACTTGCTAAAATATATTTAAAAGCTTGTATCAGTAGCTTCTATAATTCTATCCGCTACCACTGAAAACATTAAAATGAAAAGTCACTAAAATTATTTTGGTAAACTATAGAGGTTGAAAAGATATACCTAAGAGCCACTAAGCTAGAGTTTCTACATATGCAATTTCAAATGGAGGTGTAATTTATTACTCCTACATTCCAATTTTATAATAAAACATTTTATCTGCAAATCAAAAAAATGGAGGTGTAATTTTAATTGACTAAGTTCATGCAACCTCACTAGCTAGTACTACAATGTGACTGCAATTAGATTTGTCCTTCAGACAATGATAGTAGACTTGGAAATTGGGTTGTGTGGGTCAAGTTCGGATTGGGTCAAAACACTTCGGGGTGATTTTGGGTCGGGTTGAATTTCAGGTTAGATCGGCAAATGCTAGACCCTCACCCTAAATGTTCAGGTTAGGTTTGACCCACGTGTCAATTTGGGTCATCCCTTAAAATAACTGGAATTAAAAAATAAAAATAAAGAAGAAATACATGAAAATGCCAAAATTAAAGGAATTAGCATTAAAGTTCCAAACATAAAATAAAATACTTGAACATTGAACAACTCAAATAGTAAAAGATAAAGACTAAAGACTAAATAGTAGAGATTGAAGAGTGGAAACTTCTAACAATACAAAAATAGTCCTGATTAGACCTGACAAATGGGTCAACGGGTTCACCCATAACCCAATCCAACCCAGTTTTCCGGGTCAGGTTGGGTCATTCTCAAATTCAGGTAGCTATATATGAGACCCTAACCCTGTTTATTCGGGTTGGGTTGGGTAAACTTTTTTGCCAAGTCTAAATGATAGCCAAGGAAAGCACTGCTTTTTAGGATCTTATCAATATAAAAACTTTAAGGGTGGGCCTTGGCACAATGGTTGGGTTGCTCCATTGCAACTTGGGTGACCAGGGTTCAAATCTTGGAAACAGCCTCCCTGAATGTGCAGGGGTAAGGCTGCGTGCATCTGTCCTTCCTAGACCCCACATCGGTGGGAGCCTTGTCCACTGGGTTGCCTTTTTTTACCTAGTAACTACTTCAGAATCTTGTAAGCACCATATTTTTACTATGACATGCTTGTAGCAGGGACGGAGCTAGAGGGTGGCAGAGGGGAGCCATGCCCCCCCCCCCCTACCTTGAAATTCCCCTTAATACCCATTTAAATCCCATTTAGATTTTGACCCCCTAAAATAAAAAATGGGTTCAACTATGATATGGAAAATATATGATATCCAAATTATAAACGTGGTAGCCTATCAGGTGTAATTTATCAAAATTCATGGGTGGGTTTTGATTGGTCAAAACTCTTTCGATACCACACCTTTCCAGCATCATAGATTTTCCCTAAATACTAGCTCTACTCCTACTTGTAGGTTATATACCAAAAATTTATTAATCTTTTCTTACATCTCTAGTAAGTTATATACATGGGCTTTCTAGTCAATTTATTAGTAGTTTGTCTTTTATATTACTAGTTGGCTTGGTTCCAGTTTGTGAGTAAACCCTAGTAGATTCTAGGTCAAAGTAGAGAAGAAGAAAGAAAAGAGAAAGAAGAAAGAAAAGAGAAAGAAGAAGGAGAGAAGAAGAGTATTCGGCCAGACTAGAAGAGAGAATGTAAAATCACTTCTCTCCTAGCCGACCCACTTGAATTTATTCAAAAAACTTAGAGTTACAAGAAAGACTATTTTGTCCCTCATAGAAGATGGGACACATAACTTAAACTCAGATACAATAGACCTTTCACTTTCAAGAAGATAAACCAGAATGACCAAAATACCCCTGACTCGAGCATTCTAA